GGAGCCCGATGCGGGGCTCGATCCCAGGACCCTGGGATCATGACCTGAGCCGAAGGCAGACGCCCAACGACTGAGCCACCCAGGCGCCCCAAAGGAAAAAAATTTTTATTTTTAGTCCAAAACACTGTACAGTCCCTTAGGCTTCATTATAATGACATCTCTCCTCCATGTCAGTTGATTGCTAACTGTTAATAGTCTTTTAAATGGTCAGTATCCACTGATATTGAATAGAAACACCAAGAGATTCCTAAATCAGACACCTTTAAAAATTCAGGTTCTATTTACCCACTACAGATTGCAAGTTTCTTTCTATGTGCATTGTCTGTCTTTAGTTTCAAATTGGGAGATGGGAACACTTGGGATCCTGGGATTGAAGAATATTTCTAGTTTGAAATCCTTACAGGGTTCTTATGACCTATGGCTCCCTGATCACTTATCCACCAAAATCACAACTTAAAAATGCCATTTTTTTGTCTGTGTGTATATATGTAGATTCGATTTTTGCCTTGAGCTTTAATCTAAAGTTTAAAAAGTTAGGCTAGCATCCAACAGAGAAGAATTTGGTATTACTTTGTATATGGGGAACCAAATGCCCATATATACTCCAGGAAATCACACAGTTGTTCAATTTATTTTTAAAACCCTTAAATAGTATTTACTCTGTTTCAGGTACCTGTCATAAAGTACTTCAGAACATTGTTAATCCTCATAATAACCCTATAGAGTTGGTACTATTACCCCATTTCACAGATGGGAAAATTAAGGCACTAAGAAATTAACTCATCCAAGATCATTTAGCTCCTGAATGTGAGAGCTGAAATTTGAACCCAGGTCATCTGGCTCTACAGTCCTATGCTCATAACTACTGCCCTTTTAAACTAATTGAATTGACCATCCCTCAACCTAAGGCTACTCTGTTCTGGTGAAAGTTCTTCTGGTTAAGGAAAGTGCCTTAGGGATTAGTTCTGGGTAAGTAATGTTCCATTACTTTTTTTTTTTTTAAGATTTTATTTATTTATTTGACAGAGAGAGACATAGCGACAGAAGGAACACAAGCAGAGGGACTAGTAGAGGGAGAAGCAGGCTTCCCGCTGAGCAGGGAGCCCGATG